GGGGGGGGGGGGGGGGTTGTAAGGGGGCCCCACCCGTGTCGCCACGTGCTGGCTTGTGGCACCCCTCATGCCGGGCCCTTACTTCTTGTGAAAGGCGGTCAGCGGATGTTGGGATGGTGCTGCGAATGATGGAAGATATTGCTGCAAAAAGGGGACGCACTGAGAGGACAACAGCCCCCGCGTTACCGAGGTACCGCCTGGCTTCAGGTCAGTTTCATCCCAGCTTCACAGCAGCGCACACAGCGCGGCAGGTGGAGAAGCGCGAGAGCGAGTGGTGCGCAATGCTTGGTGCGCGCATGCATGGGGGAGAGTCTCTTTTGTTGCAAACATCAAACATATCCGTGCAATCGCAAGAGCGCACGCAAACATGGCAACGGACAGTGTGTGGGGCAAGCCAGGCGGCGCTTGGGCTGACGACGTTGAGGAGCAAGAGCAGTCTGGCACGCTGGCAGCGCCCGCCGTTGCCCCCTACAAGGCCTTTAAGGAGGAGGCTTTCCCGGCCCTCTCGGCTGCCAAGGAGGCGCCGAAGAAGAAGGGCAAAGCCAAGCCCGTCCCGCTCGGCGCCTTCCTTGGTGGCTCCGCGGCCGCAAGCGCGAGGACCAACCTCGACGACAAAGCCATCCTTTTGGCTCTTCCCAAGAGCTCGACCGGTGCTCCGCGCGAGGAGGGCCAGGGCGGCGGCATTGGCGGTGCCTTCAGGGAATACGGTGGCGATCGTGGAGGTGCGCGATCATGCGTTTACCTCGGCAACGCTGTTTTGAGCCAGCATGAGGTCGACCTGGGCCCCGGGGTTGCATGCCAGCACCGTGCTCACAATGATGAGCAGTGTGGACCCCGAGGCCTGGGCTGAAGCTGGCGTGGCTGTTTTTTTTTGCAAGTTTTGCGATGTACCATGCGTGGGGTGCAGATGCTTCGGGCGCATGGGCGGCGCAGTCGGCACCATGGCGCGCATGGCGCACAGCGTGCCCGCGCCCTGTTCAGTTGCGGCAGCAACAAGTGGCGCATGCAGCCGTGCCCGTCCTCCCCTTGTCATCGCACCTGGGTACGGGCACTGTGAACCATGCGTCATGCTTGCTCGCTCGCCCTTTGCACAGGCGCCCGCCGCGGCGGCTTCGGCGACCGCGACCGCGAAGGCGGCGGCGACGAGCGCCCCGGCCGTGAGCCGTCGCGCGCCGATGAGGACAAGGACTGGGGCGCCTCCCGCAAGTTCACGCCCAGCGAGGCCGGCGGCGGCGGCTCCCGCGGCTTCGGGGGCGGGGGCTTCGGCGGCGAGCGCCGCGGCGGCGCGGGCGGCGGCGAGCGTGGCGGTTTTGAGGACCGCCCCCCACGCCGCGAGGCCGGGCCTTCGGCTGCCGACGAAGCAGACGACTGGGGCGCCACGCGCAAGTTCCAGCCGAGCACGGAGGGCGAGCGCCGCGGCGGAGGCGGCGGCTTCGGCGGCGGCGGCGGCGGCTTCCGCGACCGCGACGGCCCCCGCGACGGCCCCCGCGGCGACGGCCCCGAGCGGCGCCGATTTGACGAGCCGTCCCGCGCCGACACCGACGACTGGGCCACGCGCCGCGCGCCGCCGCCGGCCGACGACCGCGCGGCGCCGTCGGCGCGGCGCCCCGGGTTTGGCTTCAGCGGGAGCAGCGCAGCGGACGGCGAGGACCGCTGGGCGCGCGGCACGGGCGCCGCGCCGCCGCCGAGCAGCAGCGGCGGCGCTGACGCCGGCCCCGCGCGCGAGCGCCCCCGCCTCAACCTCGCGCCGCGCACCAAGCCCGTTGCGTCCCCGACCCCGGGTAGCCCGGTGGTGCAGCAGCAGCAGCAGGACGGCGGCGGCGACAAGCCGCAGGAGCCGCGGGCGCCCAAGGCCAACCCCTTTGGCGCCGCGCGGCCGCGCGAGGAGGTGCTCAAGGAGAAGGGCATTGACTATGTGAAGGAGGAGCTGAAGCTGGAGCACGGGGAGGTGATCAGGTGCGGTGTGAGGAGGGGGGGGGGGAGGAGAAATGGGGGGGGGA